GAATCAAACCAGTTCTCTCAGATTAGAGTCCGCGCTCTTAACCACTACACCAAATTGGCTTTATTATGATGTCTGTATAATTTACACCATCATAATGAAAGCATATGCTTTCCCACAACGAACATGACATTAAACTTAGCATATGAAGAATACATTGAGAGACATCAGATGCATCTCCACCTTCTTCATGGGGCATCAAATACAACCAACATTTTTGTTCTCTTCTTGTACATTATTCCATAACCACCCTCCCTGCACTGAACAGTCGCTTTTGCATTTATTTCATTTTCTCTATGACAGTCTCCACAGATGTATTACCATGGGGCTACCGCCTGGGAGGTGGCACGGCTTTCTGGGTGTCCGTTATCAGTGAGCCTTACAGTGCAATTCTAATCTGTGAAGGTTTACACTGCCATTTTCCAAACCTGGCCCAAGCATTATTTAAATTACATACATTCATTTAGCTGTACATTTTTTTCTGCTTCCAAGATCTAGATTTTCAAAGCTTTTGGGTTTCCTTTGCTGGTTCTTTACAAAACCAAGCAGAAGCAGTGGCCACTAAGAGGAGGGGGAGAGAAGGGTTGAGGGTCAGGGAAGAGTCTGGCAGGAATTTCTGCAGAACATGAAGGGCCTGGAAGCCTAAAGGCACTTTCCTGGGAGTAAGCCTTATTCCATAAATAGGACTCACTGCCAAGTAGACCTGCTTTGGAATTGCTCCTTAAAGTACCGCCTCCTTTACACTGGGCACCTGATTTGTTAGATCCAGGAGATCAGCCGTGTTGGTCTGAAGCAGTAGAACAAATTTAGAGTCCAGTCGGCACCTTTAAGACCAACAAAGTTTTATTCAAGGTATGAGCTTTCATGTGCACACAAACTTTTTCAAATACACTTGAACGGAAGGTAAGGTCAAAACTTATTGATCGAGAATTGTCAAGCTTTTTTATTGGGCTAAAAATCGGATTGGTGGGGGATAAACCTGGGGGTCCCAGGAGGCTAAATTCTGATCCAGATATCACTCTACACTTGCACAACAAAACTGGGGACATGCACAGTCCCTATGGCTTGGGCTACTTACCTCACACAGTTTTCAAAAACATTTCTTCTCCATTAATTCTGACCCAAATGCAGGCCAAAGAATCAAAAGAGACAGAAACGCGCACACACGCACTAGGGACAAAATTAGGTTGGGATGTAAATTATTTATCTGAGATTCTATTTTGTGGATGCTTCTGAAAGTACCCATTATTATAATAGAGCTGTGTCTGCGGCTATTTTAAATGCGCACTTGCCAAGTCATCTGTGTACCTATGGCTCACTGAAAAGCTCCAGGGTTCTTTTTATTGCTCATAACTTCTTAGTTGCATGACTCGGCAGTTGTGGTAGCTTACACATCATATTGAAACCTAAAGCTAGTACCTGAAGGGGTGTGTGTGGAAATTCTTAAAAGGGCAAGGATTTAAATATTTTTTTTAAAGGGACAAACTGGTTTTCTGGGGAGTATGGGGGGGAGGGGGCTGTCTTACATTGGGTGACCCAAATTGCTCAGGGACTCCCAAACAACAGGAAAGTTCTTCCTGGAAAGTGGGACAGGTCATAAATATTTATCTAACTTATCTATGCCCCACCTTTCTCCCCAGTGGGGACCCAAAGTGGCTTACAGCATCCTCCTCCCCTCCATTTTATCCTCACAACCACCCTGTGAGGTAGTGAAGGCTGAGAGTAGTGACTGGCCCAAAGTCACCCAGTGAGCTTTCCTGGCATCAGCAGGGATTCAAACCTGGGTCTTCCAGGTAGACCAAGGCTCTTAACCCCTATAACATACTGGCAATTGCAAAAATCAAACCCCCACGTTGGGGATGGGTGGAATGGGGGGGGGGGCTCATGCTAGAAGGGAGAACTGCCTTCTCTCCCCACATTTTGTGCCTCCTCCCTCCAAGCATGCAGGCCTCAGCCTCCCAAATCGTGTATCCATCACCCCACATCCTGACAACCGACCGGACACCCAGCAGGGAGGTCTCCCCACTCGGAGCCAGTCTCGGCTGTACTCTGGGAAAAGTCAGAGCCCGCGTAATGAGGCAGAACCCCCCCCCCCTTACTGAGCCTCAGAGAATCTGGGAGAGCGGCCAGGCTAGCTTGGCCCCTATTGGGGGGGGGGGGAGAGCCGGATTAGCACGAGCACCGGCTCTCTCCGCCACCCTTCTGCAGCAGCCCGCCGGGGAGAGCGCGGCCCCCCCCCCCCCCCCCCCAAGATTCAGTGCAAGCGACCCGGGTGGTGCCCGGGCACGTCTCTGGTCTTGGGCTGGCTTGACACTCAGGTGAGACGCGTGCACGCGCCGACCACCCACTCGGCACCTCGGCCTCCCAGCCCCGCCAGACCACCCTTCGATTCTGGCCCCGGCCTCCCTTGACCTCGCAGTAGCCCCGACCGCTCCCGCAGCCCCAGGACCTCCCCTCGTCACGTGCCGTCCGCCCCTGCACGCCCCGAGCCCTCCCGGCAGTCCGGACGTGGGCGAGCCGAGAGAAAAGGGGGGGAGGGGGGGGGCGGAGCCAGGCGAGAAGCGTAGCCGTCCACGTGTGCACGACTCGGACGTGACTCGGCCGGAGGCAGGGCGCAAAGCGCTCGCTAGGCGACCGGCTGAGATCGACCAAAGGCTGTAGAAGAGAGCACCTTAAAAGACGGACAGAATTTGTGGCGGGGCAGGAGCGTTCGTGAGTCACTGTCATTCGCTTCTGCATACGCCGAAATAGCCGGAGAAGTGAGCACCAGTGACTCACGCAGGCTCCTCCCCTGCCCCAAATGTTTAGTCTTTAAGGTGCTCCTGGACCCCCTTGCCCTTTGCTGCTGCTGCTGCAGACGGGCTCGCGGGGCCACCCATCTGGGAGGGAGGGGAGGCTTGTGGTTGCAGTCAAAACTCCGCCACCGTCAGTTGGGTTGAGCCCGCGGGCTCTTCTTGGCGCTCAGGCCAGTGCTCTGCAAGGGCGCGCGTTGGCAATATGTCCTGAGGGGGTAGCCCTGTTGGTCTGCGGGGGGACATCTTGGGGGGGGGTGAGTCTCTGACGAAAGCCACCTTGATTCCCCACCTTGATGGTCAGGAATCTGGCTGTTGCCATGTTTGCATCTCTAAGGCTTTCGCGTTCTGTGTTGCACGCCTTTTCTCCCCCTCAAATGAAGAGGGGGGGGGATAGAAATCGACTCCCCCCCCCCTTTCTGGTCTGCAGTCTCGGCGGAGAGAGCTCGCCCAACCCAGTATCGCCCAATGCATTGACCAAATGTCGTGTGGATCCAGGTACAGTCCTCCCGAACTGTATTGTCGCCTCACTGCCGGACTGTACCCAAGGCGGGTACGGAGCGACGGAGAGAAGTCGGTTCGCAACAGCTGCCTCGCCGGCGAGTTACGAGAAAGCGGCCCCGTCCCCGGCCTAAACGCTCAGGGTCGCGCGCGTTCAGTTTTACACCACGCGTACGTATTCACACGTGCAAAAAAAAAAAATCCCAACGCGCGTTCCAGAAAAAGTGCGCCGGATCGGGCAACACTCATGAGAGCACCCAACCACACGTACACGCTCGAGCTTTCCTGAAAAAAACCCCAAAACACTGTTGTAGAAAAAAACAGGCGCTCCGCGGCACCCTAAAGACCAACAACAGTGTTTTCCTGCACAATATTATCCTAGCATAATTAACAAAATATTATTATGTTGTTGTTGTTCTTGTTGTTAAATTTATTAATCGCCCATGTTGTTAAATGCATCCTCCTCCTAGTCTCCAAAGTGCAACAAAACTCCTTGCCTGTTTTTGTTTACCCCAAAAACCAAAGTCCACCAAAGTTTAGGCTGGAACAAAAAAAAAAGAGTCATGCCCGTCTTTTAAAGCGCCTCCACGCGCCTGTTTATCCCTTAGCGAAACCCCCATCCCGTCCGGCGTTCCCGGACTCCACATTTTCACCCCAGCCGCCGCCGCCGCCGCCGCCGCTCCTGGCAGCCGCCGCAACAGCAGAGCCCGTGAGGTCAGCGGCGCGTCGAATGAGCTGTCTGCGCCGAGGGAAGGGCCGGCCGGTGGGCGAGCCTCTTGGGCAGGCGCAGTGTGGGGCCCTGCCTAAAAGGGAAAGGGGGGGGGAGGAGGAGGAGGAAGGGCGCAGTTCGAGAGGGCGAGCGGGTGTCGCTGTCTGACGCCTGGCCGGGAGAGAGGAGGCGGCGGCGGCTGTGAGGCGACAATAATAATAATAATAATAAATAATAATAATAGAA